CGGCCGGTGCGCCCGGATTCCAGCCCGTCTCCACCCGCCGGAGCCGGGCAGCCTCAGATCCACCCACACACACTCCCCTGGGTCACCCTGGCGGGCGGGCTGGGGCTCAGCTCTGCCCCCTCCTCAGGAGCAGCCTTAGGTGAGCCCCCACCTCCATGCGGGGTGTGAGCGGCAGTGGACGGAGGCCCCGCCCCCCCCCCCCCCCCAAAAAAACTGTCCAGGCGGAAAAGTGCAGCCTGGTTCTCCTTGTCTTTTAGAGGAAAGTGTGTTCTTGGCTCATTCGTTGTCCTTGTTAATTCTCACCCGAGGGTGTCTTTCCCATTGATTTTTAGAGAGAGGAGAGAGAGAGAGAGAGAGAGAGACATTGATGTGAGAGAGACACATCGATCGGTTGACTCCTGCACACGCCCCAACTGGGACTGGGGATCAAATCTGCAACCCGGGTACGTGCCCTTGACTGGGATTCGAACCCTCAACCCTTGGTACTTGGGCCGACGCTCTAACCACTGAACCACCGGACAGTGCTTGTTCGTTTTTGAACGTAAGTGACATTGTTTTTGCTTTCCCTTTCTTTCTTTTTATTTTTTTAACTAGAGGCCCAGTGGATGAAATTCGTGCCCTGGGGGGGGGGGGTCCCTCAGCCTGGCCTGCGTCCTCTTGCAGTCCAGGGGCCGTCAGTCGGATATCCTTAGTGTTCACCAGCCTGAGCCTGGCTTCCGGCTGAGTGGTCGGCCCCCTGGTGGCCAGTGCGTGTCATAGCAACCAGTCGTTCCACCATTGGGTCAATGTGCATATTAGCCTTTTATTATATAGGATAATAAGAATTAAGTTTTATTTTAAACGGTAAAAATTTACACATACTTGTTTATAAAAGAAGTGGTAACATCAGACCAGTGTAAAACATCACAGAATTCAAAATCACAATTTGGATCTTCAAGATTCCAGTTTGTCTGCCATTCAGTCCAACACGGTCAGTGTTCAGAGAAAATTCTCCCCCGGGTACCCTGTTCTCCATCGTCTTCCTCTATCACCGGCATCTCACCCGGGAGGATAGCGACTCCACAGTGGTGGCTCCCGTCTCTGGCCGTCGTTCTGTAGCCGTCCTTGCCCCAGGCGTCACCCCGGCCGTTCTGGACAATCCAGGCTTTGCTGTCACTCGGTTCTTCTCCTTCAAAGCCGTAGCCGCCACCAGGACGCCCTGACCTGGACCTGCGCCCCTGCAGCGCCGGCCCTAATAGATGCCGTCTTCACGGAACTGGAGCCAAGGTGGCTGCATCTGTAGCAACAGAGGGGGGCCCCGCTGAGCCGCTGCCTGCAGAGGGCACCTCCCGCTGAGGGTGCCCACGGAGCCGGCGTCGTTGGCAGCAGAGACCGCGGGCCTGAATCTGCAGGGTCCGATCTTTGCGTGATGGGGGTAGAACTGAACCTCCTGGAAGGCAGTGGTCCTTGGGCCGGAGCCTGGGAGCAGCGCACACGCTCTGCTCACTCCGCGAAACGCTTGCCGGTTCCCCGGAACAGCTGTCCTTCAAGGGCACCAGTTGCGCTAAATGCCCAGCAAGAACCACAGTGACCCTGGTCTTCACGGGAGTTACAGGGCCGACTGCTCTCTAGCCCGCCGCTGGGGGAAAATGAGGTTCCCACACTCTCTCCTTCCCTCGGGCCTCTGGTTTGGATGGCCGTCCAGCCCCTGCCTGCATCTTCATGGTCCTGTCACCACAAGCCTTCATTGCTATGGCGAGGCTGTGTCCACGGTGAGGCTGTGTCCACGGCGAGGCTGTGTCCACGGCGAGGCTGTGTCCACGGTGAGGCTGTCCACGGCGAGGCTGTGGTGTCCACGGTGAGGCTGTGTCCCTGGCAAGGGCTGTGTCCACGGCAATGCTGTCCACGGCGAGGCTGTGTCCACGGCGAGGCTGTGTCCACGGTGAGGCTGTCCA